TGGGGGAGGGAGGCAGAGAGAAAACAGAGAAAGACACAGAGAGGGCAAGAGCACCTGAGGAGGAAGAGAAGGGAGGGGGGTGTAAGGAGCAGAGAAAGAGACAATGGGAGCGGAAGGGAGGTAGGAACATTGGAGAGGTGGGAGTGGGAGAACAGGAACAGGACAGGTCACATGTCAGCAATGTATCCACTGGATGTGCTGGATGTCCAGAACCGAAACAGGGAGGAACAATGGGGAGGGGCAGAGTGGGCAGGCACTGTGAAAGGAAGTGCTTAGCATTTACACTTGGCCAAGCAGGCAGTTCAGCAGATCTCTCCAAGTCAGTCCTGGAGAAGAGGATCACTGCTGCCATCACACACTCTCGTGCAAGGAAGTCCTAGGAGTCACTGTGGCTGGAACACACACTCCTGGAAGATGATCTTCATTCCCTTCTTTCCACGGCCTGGGCAGGTCAGTTTCGTGTCCATGGGCTCTGGAACATCCTCCAGGGGGCTGGTCTGGAACATCCTCTGGGGATACTGGGGTTTTGTCAGGCCATGGCTCCCACTTCTCCATCCCCAACCAGTAGCCGAATGGGGTAATGGACAACAGTCATGAGGGACCGCAAACATGAGGTCTCAACTCTCTTTTTCAGACTGTGAGAAACCCATAACAATACTTCCAGGAAGGTAATGTCTTTGCTCACAACATGGAGAACTCATCCAATGGCCCAAGAGGAACCGGGAAGGCTGCTCCTCCGAGAAGACCCTGGAAGGGTCGGTTCCAGAGAGCCCTGGCACGTGTGTCCAAGTTCTTCAGGTGAGGGCTCTGAGTCAGCCTGCCTCTTACCACTCACAGCAAGCTGCAATGACTCCCTTCCTTTCCCTCAGAAAGCACCCCAGCCCTCCTCTCCATTCCCACAGGGCTTCTGAGGGTCCACTTGTCTCTCTGTTTCCTCCTCAGGAGAGGCCGCCAGACAGAAAAAGGCTGAGTCCACTGAGGTCCGAGAACGGGGCCATGGCCTTCTGCTGTCCAGGCCTTTGCCCTCCTGAGAATCTTGTTCAGTGCAGTTGAAATAAAGGCCGTCATGCTTTACAATGTTTTGCCTCCATGACATTTCCTTCACTTTCATACTGACACCCACCTCAGATGAGATGATTTGGGTATCAGACTGGATGTCCCGGGAGTGTTGGTGCGAATGGCAGGAACTAGTGTCTTTCTTACTCCAGCTGAGCCATCCACTCACCTTCTTGAGGCAATGATGCTTGCTGCTTGGAGGTGGTGGTGGAGTCCTTGTTCAATGTGCAGTGAATTTCCCACAGCTCTCAGCTCTGACCCCAAGGGGTACTTGCATGTACTGAAAATCCTTGAGGCGTGATGGAGGTGGGTCTTGAATCTTATCTGTTGCTTTCATTGGTTAACTAATAAAGAAAACTGCTTGGCCTGATAGGACAGAAAATTAGGTAGGCGGAGTAAACAGAACAGAAGGCTGGGAGGAAGAAGCCGAGTCAGGCAGTCGCCATGATTCTCCCACTCCAGACAGATGCAGGTTAAGTTCTTTCCTGGTAAGCCAGCTCGTGGTGCTACACAGACTATTAGAGAATATTATCAATATGTAAGAGCTAGCCAATAAGAGGCTGGAACTAATGGGCCAGGCAGTGTTTAAAAGAATACAGTTTCCGTGTAATTATTTCGGGTATAAAGCTAGCCGTGCAGGCGGTCGGGTGCCAGGAACATAGCCCGCCGCTCCCCACTACAGAGTGGCACCCAACGTGATGGACTAAATACACTTAAAAACCTGAGAGGGCTTTAAAAAAGAAAGGAGAGAGAGTTTAACACAGCTTTTGGGTGTTTGTGGGTGGCTTGCCACAAAGAAATTGCCCTGACTCAGCAGCAGGAAAAAAACTGGTTGTTTTAAAATGCCGGCTTTCTGGGCTGTGCCACCATTGCAATCTCTGTCTGGCTCCTAGGGGAGACAGAGTCTTTGAATGGAGCATTTGGAATAAAGTGCTACGGCTTGCTTGATGGCAATGTGGACTGCTGTGTGCCTGGAACTGTGTGTGGTTCAGGGGCACCAAATGGCTCTAAGGTAGGAGTGGCTCAGCTCTGCCATGCTGAACTGTGCTGGTCTTGGGCAGGAACTGCTGTAATTACCATAATAACAACGCAGTTAAGGTTTAGACTGGGCAGGAAACAGGCTCTACCTATTACGGTATTACATCTACATGGCGCAACTTAAGTTTTTAAGAAGTACTTAACATTTTAAGAACTGCTCCTGGATAGTAAAAAAAAAAATATACAGATTCACAATAGGACAGATTCAGACCACTAAATGGATCACAATGTTAGATGAGTGTATGTAGGCTTGAGAGAGAGAAAAAAAAGAGAGAGAGAGAATAAAGTTAATGCCCTTAAAAAAAGGGTAAAGTCTTGAAAGAGACAGAGTACAGATAGTTATAGATTAAAAGAAATAAAGAAAAATAAACCACGTAAAAATGGAAAATTCACAGAGAGTCTGGATTATGTACATTGTGTTTTCTTTAAAATATTTGACTGTGAAGGAGCTAAGCACAGAGAGACATTTCATTATATGGGCTGCCAAGTGGAACCAGAACGGATATCATGAGGGTATGACTTCAGAATTTGGGTCTAAGGATATGATGCTTTGAAAAGGGTCTTCTTTTGTTTTCACAGAGGATGAGACCCTGTGGATTGTGTCTATCCCAATATGGAATGATAAACCACACCCTCCTGAAAGGTTGCTGTGAACACCCTGAAAAAATTACTTTGCTCAACTGCAGACTGAGATGAACCTAGCAGACAGGTTATACTGTGAAAGACCTAAATAACAGCGCCCACATTCAGCAGGAATCAGTTTGGAGAGAAATAACTACGTCCATATTCCCAAATATTGTTTATAAATGTTTTTTTTACATTTAAAGGATGGTATGATATAGATATGAATAATTTTCATTGGTATGGATTTTAAGGTCAATTTTGTTATATGTATATGTATTTCTGATCTTGATTAAGGTATTGTGATTGTATAGTTCATTTAAAATGTAATGTATAATTATGAAATATAGGTTTTTAATGGATAATCATCAATAATAGTCAAGCTTGTAGTCATGTTAGTTAGATTTTCTAGATATATAGAGATATATTTCAGTTAGATAGACATTCTTCATATCTTTCAAAGACTGCAGAATATGGCATTTAAATGTTTTAATAACTTAGGGCTTTTCATGACAATGAGACATGTCTGCTTCTGGCAGCACCAATCTACTTCAAGAGGAAGATGGGCATTGAAGAGGCTCCTTATGGAGTTTGTTTAGGCATTTGGGCAAGAAACTGCTCTTGCCTGGACTGATGCATGAACTGGACACAAAGAACCTGCAGAGAGAGGACTGCTGAACTTGCCTAAAGGTGAGATGGTCCTTTGGGGTTCCTGACTCATGAAAGAGTCTGCAAGACATTCTGCAGGACACAGCAGATAGTGACTGAACTGCCTTTGAAATTTCCTGCTTCATGGAAATGTCTGCTGGATACTATGGGCCTGAAGGCTGAAGATGGATGCCCCAACAGTAGAGAGGAACTTTGGATGACTGTTCAGGTAGCGAGATGTCTCTGTCATTTCTAGAGTTTGGATTTCTTGTTTGCTTAGGTAATACTATATCCTTCTGGAGTCTTTGATGGAGTTGAAGAATAAATAGATAGTTATAGTTTTCCTTAGTTATGATAAAAGATAAAGTAGATATAAATATTGTAACTGTAATTCTTACTTGATAACTGTTTTGCTATATGTAATTTACTATGTTAAAGTTAAAGCCTTTCTTTTTTTGTTTAAACAGAAAAGGGGGAAATGATGGAGGTGGGTCTTGTATCTTATCTGTTGCTTTCATTTATTTTCAATAAAGAAAACTGCTTGGCCTGATAGGACAGAAAATTAGGTAGGCGGAGTAAACAGAACAGAAGGCTGGGAGGAAGAAGCCTAGTCAGGCAGTTGCCATGATTCTCCCACTCCAGACAGATGCAGGTTAAGTTCTTTCCTGGTAAGGCAGCTCGTGGTGCTACACAGAATATTAGAAATGGGTTAGATCAATATGTAAGAGCTAGCCAATAAGAGGCTGGAACTAATGGGTCAGGCAGTGTTTAAAAGAATACAGTTTCCGTGAAATTATTTTGGGTATAAAGCTAGCCGTGCAGGCGGTCGGGTGCCAGGAACGTAGCCCGCCGCTCCCCACTACAGAGGAGGGAATAGCATGTCTCTGCCCCCCTTTCACTGCAAAATATCCTCATATGGAGAAATACTTTGCCTCATTTATGAATGGGTAGTGGACGAGTCAGTTTGGGGAAAGCTACATGGTGGAGGTTGCATAATGGGGAGCAAGTAACTTGTAGAAACACTCCCTGGATCCTGCAAAAGGGCTTTAGACTTCCATGCTCACAAACAGTTCCCAGACAACCCCCTGCCTATCAAAACAGTCGCCCTCCAAGGGACAGCCTTTTCTCTAACTACACATGGTTTGTCCTATGTGGGCCTTTCTTGCATTTCCTTGGTGATCTTGAAAGATAACAAAACATAGTTTCCTCAGGACAAGACGTCAGTGGAAGATGGAGCATAGCTGAACCATTGATCCAACATGGAGGAGACCATGTTAGAAATGGCAACAGCTGAGCTGGAGATATGGCTCAGTAATTGAGGCCCTGCTGCTGTTGTAGAGGACCTGGGTTCGATTCCCACCACCCACATCATGGCTCACACCTGAGTATAACTCTAGTTCCAAGAGATCTAACTGACCCACTCTTTGACCTCTCTGGGCACCAGGCACCCACAAGGTGCACAGATGTGTGAAAAACAACCCTGCACATGAAATAAAAATAATTAAAAACAAATTGCAACACCAGTTATCAGAGACTAGGGAAACAATGTTGTGGACTTCAGAAACAACAGGGAATTGGACATCATGGGGGATCCTCAAAATACTTTATTTTCTGTGTAAATGGAGACCAGGACTCACAGTTCCTCCTGGAGTGGGCTCAGCCTTGTAGAAATGGTGAAATTATTGTCTCCACTTGTTCAAGGGAGAGCAGAACACTGGGGTTGCTTGTTCTTCTGTTGGCTCACCCTTTTCCATTCTGCCACATCAGGCTTTCTCATGTTCTTTTGCATCTAGGTGGAAATAAGTCTTGATATATCTGTTGAGTTCTGTACCAATATTATTCATACACCTCTTCCAAAAAAGAGAACAGTTAATTTAGGTGGGATGACCTTGGTATTTGGAGATTGGGGGAGGGGAAGAGGTCATTTACAATGTAGGCATGGAAATGGACCACATCCTTAGGACTTTTCATGGGACAGCCGAGCTTGCTGAGGTGCCTATTAGGACTGTGGGCTATAGACAATGAATCCTCCATGGCTATATTTGAGAAAAACTGACTGTAAGAAGTACAAAATGTACAGCATCCACTATGCAGCCTTCACCACTGACAATGAGCTGTGAGGCTGCAGATGCAAAGGAAACCTTTTGGCATCCCAAAGACAAGGTTTAGATTGACATCCTCATATCCACACCCAAAAGCCCTATTCTAGAGAAAAACAGACCATTCCCACAACACCCACCCCACTTCAACCTCAGATTCCCATAGCACCATCACCCCCAACCCCCCAGGAGATACCTCTCCTTGTTTCCTTCACAGGAATGAACCAATGAGGGGCTTTAGATCCAGTGCTCTCTGGACCCCACATATCTCATTGGAGGCCCCAAGATTGCTGCTACTAGATTCCATGGGGTTTGTGTCTAGAGGACAAGAAGTTTCTAAAGGGGCACCAGCACATAAATGAAATGTGACCAGCAGCCTGCAAGGGTCAAAGTACTCACAGGGCAGCTACTAGGCTCCTGATATCCACTAGAAGCTATCCTAAGAAAGCACAGGAAATGTGGGTCCTTCAAAAGCCATGCTGTATATACAGGCCATCAACTTTGGGTAGAGCTACACTTTCATCAGATCCCTCTCTATTCATGAAAACCTCTGTAGCCCAACCAGATTGGATTGGTGCTGCGGTCTGGCCACCAAGGCTTATGCTGGCTCTGCTAAGACATAGTTCTCTCTCATTTCTGTCAACAGTGGTCCACAACACCAACAGAAAGCTTTACAGCTGCCCCCACACAAGCCTTTTTCTTTTCCAACTTATGGAACCTCACTGTAATCCTACCACTGCCCTCATAACACACTGGCTCTCCCAGGCCTCAGGAGACAACCTCTGCTTTGTGCCCTTGCCTCAGGGGACACTCTCTGTTCTGGTGAAGAAGCACTTGCTCCTTGATGTAAGTGTTACTTTCTATGTGTTGCTTTCATTGGTTAATTAATAAAGAAACTGCCTTGGCCCTGATAGGACAGAAATTAGGTAGGCGGAGTAGACAGAATAGAATGCTGGGAGAAAGAAGCCGAGTCAAGCAGTCGCCATGATTCTCCCACTCCAGATAGACTCAGGTTAAGATCTTTCCTGGTAAGCCACCTCGTGGGCTACACAGAATATTAGAAATGGGTTAGATCAATATGTAAGAGCTAGCCAATAAGACGTTAAAACTAATGGGCCAAGCAGTGTTTAAAAGAATACAGTTTCTGTGTAATTATTTCGGGTAAAGCTAGCCGGGTGGCGGGAAGCAGCCCCTCCGCTCCCACTACTACAGCTCCTTTCCTGCCACTCATTGGAAAGGACGGGTCAAGGACCCAGAGTGTGCAGGGAATGAGCTGCACGTGAGCCAGAGTCCAGAGCACGGACCACAGCTGCTGCTGGTGGGCCTTCCCTCTGGCAAACCCCAAGTCAAGAGTGTCTAGTCCCAGTTGATCCTCATTTATCTCCTCTCTCGGCCACAACTCGAGAGTGTGTCTCCTGCACACGTGTTCTTGCCCTCTCACCATCCCTCCAGTATCCTCTAATTCTAGCCTTCCAGTTCCACGGAAGCAGGGAGTCCACCAGTTGTCCACAACATCCCGACAGGGGGTCACTGGCAGTTTTTACATCTCTAGTGCTGCCTCTCTTGGGGGCCGTTACCTAATGCCAATGAAGCCTGCTGCCTCCCAGATGCCTGTCCTCTGGGCTCCCTGACCACCCCGGTCAAGCCTGCCTGCCGCATCTACCTCAATTATTTACACTGAGAGCCCCAACTAGACTCTCAGATGTGGGGCAGAGCCTGAGTCTGCTGCCTTGCTCTTCCAGTGCCCAACACAGTGCCTCACATAATGGTCACTAGGACACGGGTTAAATAAATGAGTCCATGAGCAAGGTGTCTAGTTCAATTTTATTTTCCCCTACATTCCAGAGCTCTAGGTGAATACAAGTAAACATTAGCTGGTTCTGCTGTGCCAGGTGTTGGCCACATTTGTGTTTTACCTCTGAATATCTGGAGGGGGAATCACAGCGTTACGACTTCCGTCAGCATCTCAAGGAGCTACTGACTCGACCCCAGGATGTTTCAGACATAAAATGACAGTGTCACAATTGTTTTGTATAAACAAAGAAATCTCCCGTAAATAAGGAACAAAGAAACCCTGGATGTATGCCAAGCATAACCGTGGACGCTCATACTTAATCATACGTCTAGAAAAGCAAGGCTTTGGGAAATGTTTTACTATGCCTTTGCTTCCACTCTGATCTGACATGTACATATCGAGGCACTTTTGACTTATCTTATGGCTGCGGGGATGAAACCCACAGCCTTGCCCATTTGAGGAAAGTCTTCTACCACTCAGCCACATCCTCAGCCTTCATCACTTAGTTCTCATGCCTTGAGGCTTCGCAACTGTTTCTCAATGAGAAAGAGGGTAGCTACAGAGAAAGCACAACCTTGCCATGTGCAGACTAGGCACTAAGTCACCAGGAAGCACAGCCCTGGAGCAGAATGCTATGTGTCCTTCCTCACCCTGCTCTAGCCCTGCACTTCCTAATCAGAGCCACAGGGCCTACTGCTCCAGCACCCCTTTGACTACTCACAACAAAAGCAAGGAAGCCTCAGCCATCCCTGGTGGCGGCAGAAGCCCAGACTCCGACCTGAGATGGTGACTGGCCCCTGCACTGTCCATCACTCCGGCATGGCTCTAGCCCTGGCCCTGGCACTTGCCCTGGCACTGGTGCTGATGCTTGCTTGCTTCAGCCACGGCAGGGGCCCTGGAACTGGAACTCGCACTAACTCTCGCACCTGTCACATCATCACCAGCAGCTGCTTCTCGGCCACCGCACTGTGAGCACTGGGCACTTCCTCCTCTTCTTTCAAGGCCTCATTTACTGCCACAGCCAAGGCTCTGGGCCGGGTGTCATTCACTTGGGCCACAAACTCCTGGCCTTCCATCTGTCTTGTTTCCTTGGAGGGCCCCACAAGAATACTGAGAGACAGCACTGGACTGCTGGAGGGCACCTACTCGTGCACCACAAACTTGTGCTGCACACAAGCTCTGGCCATTCCCTTTGGTGACGGCTCCCCAAGGACGGGATGCTTTTTAGGCGAGCATACCTCCAGCACCCTCCACACCTCCCCGAACACCTCCTCTGGGACACAGCTGGCCTGCACGAAGATCAAGTCCGGGATACTCAGCAGAAAGCCCAGTCTTTGGCGTGCTTGCCCTGGTCTGGTCGCCTGTCAGGCCCCCAAGGCAGGGCAGGCTGATTTTTTTTTTTTTTCCTGTTAGGGACATAGGCGTGCTCTGGAGGGCCAAGTTCCTTCACCTAGACCCAAAGACTAACTCGGGGAGGTCAGAGGTTCTCTTGAAAATCTCGGGGAAGAAGCTCCTGCACCTTTAGGATGACACACTTCAGCATGTCTGCCCTTTTGATCCACACAGTCTTCGCGTTCTTAGCCAGCAGGTACTGCGCCAGCAGCTCAGCTACTTTCTAGCTCCCAGGGCTCTGGGCATGCGCGCCAGGGGTGGTGGGGCCCGCGGGGTGCTCGGCGGGGGATCCCCTAGGGGCTTGGGGGGTCCACAAAGGAGCTCGCAGAAGCACCTGGGCGGGGGAGGGGGGGCTACGTGCCTCAGAAGAAATGCTCTTGGGGCTCCGGGCAGCACTTAGCGTCCCCGCTGCCGGCGCCCCCGCGGGGTTTCCTGGGCAAGGAGGAGAGAAGGAGGCCAGGGGCCCTCTGAGACCCGCAGGCCCTGGGTGCCACCTCTACCGCGGACGTTCTCACCTGCGGCTTTGGCTGGCCCGGGAAGCAGGAACTCGGGGAGGAGATGCGCGTCCACGGGCATTAGGCGGCCGGCCCGAGCGCTGGCTGCGAGGCCGCGAGGACCGTGACGTCGCCGCGGACGCTGAGGCGGCCGCCGAGGACACCCGCAGCCCCTGGGTCTGGAGTCCCAGGCTGCGGCCCTCACACCCCGAGGACCAGGAAGCGGGCAGGGGAGGGGGCGCAGCCTCCGCCGCGACCTGTGGGAACGCGCTGGCGCCGCCCCGCAGCGCCTCTGCCGGCCGGGGACGGTACTGCAGCCCCGGGCCGGAAGGGTGCGGGGGCGCTGCTCCCAGAGGTGGGGGCCGCTGAGGCCAGCCTTTCAAGAGACCAGAAGCCTCGGGACCACACTCAAAGCAAGCCTGCCTTCCTCCCTATTGGCTGTTACTGGGAAGAATCGGTCCTTTGGGATCACCTGTGTCTCCCTCCCCCTGCTCCTCGAGGAGCCAGCTCCCTAGGAGACAGATGGCTCTGCTCCTGAGTGGAGGGAGGCCTTTCTCCAGCAACAGGCCCTCCTGCTTCCTCTAGGCGTGCTCCACTTGGGAGGGCTGCGGTGGTCGCATGCCCTTTCGGTATGTGGCCTCTCCACTACACAGTCCAGAGAGACATTAAGTATAATCTAACTTTCCAGAGCCCATGGCATCTTTGTTTACTTAGTCCTCTGCCTCCCACTTCACTGGACCTCTTTGTTCCCCCACACAGTACTTTCTTTCCTCAGGCCTGTCATCTGACATTCAGGAACCTTCAATAAACCCTGAGCACAGAGGTCAGCTCCCAGGCAGCCCACAAGGAACCAGAAGATTTCTCCACCCCAGCCGTTGGCTCTTTTTGTTGCAGCGTGTCCAACAGGTTAGAATTCCGTTTAAAGCCTACCCTTTCTAGACAGTAAGCTATCAGCCTCTTTTTCTTAATGTCTACGACTGGCTCTGTATCCCTATGAAATGGTCCCTGAATTTCCACATGATGCCGACGCTTCTGTTTTTCAAATTTCTCCCGCTGCTGGCATTTTATTGCTGCTCCTCCTGTTATGGAGACTTGAGCATGTTTTATCGTCTGAATAAAATAATTTCCCCTCATTATTCTGTTTTCAAATCTTTTGAAAAATCTTGTCCTCTATATGAATATCATGGTCAAAATTTGCTAATATCAAGACGTCCATGGCTTGATTTGCACCAGGATAGCCGGGTATGTAGAGCTCAGCACCAAGGACAGTTAGCATCTGGAAAATGTGCAGGTTATCAACCACAAAAACGTACGTCCTGCCATTGATTCTGGCTTCTATTCAGGGTACTTCAGTTTTCTTTGTAAGTTGCCTTGAGTACCTATTGCATTTTTCTGATGTTTTTCAATGCCCCCTTTTGTTTTACTGTTGCTCTGAGTTGGATATTTCCCCACCGTGTGTTCTAATTATTTTTGACATGTCAGAAGCCCGGTTGTCTCCTATCTTTAACTGATCTGCTATAAAGCCATATGAACAACAACTGCCCTTAACTGGAATTCGCTCTCAGTGGGTGTTCATTGCATGCTGCAGTTCCTTTATGGCTTTCTTCTTTCTAGTCACTCTGACTAGGACTGTGATACTTTGTTGTCTAATGTTCCTCCTATGAAATTTCTGCTGTTGTCTTTATCCAGAGGGAATCTAGTGCCTTTAAACTAAATGCAGTAGGTTGTGGGTTCCTGATGTCCCTAGAGTTCATTTCCTATCTATTGTTTGTCCTGGTCCAAATCAGTTTTCCTTTGTCCGGCCTGGTGGCAGAGGAGCTGGTAACGGTTACCCTTTCTCCTGTGCCAGCTAAGCAAGCGCTAGGTGCTGTAGGTGTCAAACACTGGAGTGGTCCGGCAAGTCCCAGCAGGGACGTACTTCCCTTCCATTCCAGCATCCAGGTTAGGGTGTTCACTGTGGGGAGGTCAGAGGTCAGCACAGATAAACTCCAGCTGCCCCTCAGGGCTTGCTCGCCTTCCCATGGTTGCCTGTCTTAGGGTTTCTATTGCCGTGAAAGACACCATGACCAAGGCAACTCTTCTAAGGAAAACATTTGATTGGGGCTGGCTTACAGTTTCAGAGGTTTAGTTCATTATCATCATGGCAGGACATGGTGGGGCATGCAGGTGGACATGGTGCTCTGAGAAGGCGCTGAGAATTCTACATCTTGATCTACAGCAGCAGAAGGAGGCTACATCACTGGGTGTAGCTTCAGCATATGAGACCTCAAAGCCCACCCCCACAGTGACACACTTCCTCCAACAAGGCCACTCCTGCTCCAACAAGGCAACACCTCCTAATAGTGCCATTTCCTATAGGCCAAACATTCAAACACACGAGACTATGGGGGCCATACCTAATCAAACCACCACACTGCCCCTGGGGGACTCACCCCTCCATGGACCACCACGCTCCCCAACTCTGCAATGGAGGTCTCTTCTATAGAGTCACACAGACCCTTATTCTCTGGCAAGTTTCTCCATCCCGGGACAAAAAGATCTTTTCACATCCATGCTGTCTCCAAGAGGTCTGATTGCAGCCAGGGAGGGAGGGAGTGCCTTCTCTTACTCCTGCGACCTCTGTCCTTTCTCATCCTACAGGTAGGAACTACTCTTTTGTAGCCATAACTTTTGAACTCTTAAAGGTGCTTTTTCACTCTCTTGACTGCTCAGGCAATCTTATACTCCACATAACAGCATTGTCTCTGCCTCCAGATTGGACCCTCACCGGCAAGATAATCATCACCAGAAAAATTTTCCACTAAACAAAACCCTGTGGAGTTTTATTTGGACAGGAATTTTAAATCCCACTCAAAGGTGTTTCAGTATCAATGATTCACATCGTTTCTCTTTGGGTGGCTTTTAACTGTTAAAAACAAGAAAGAAAAGAAGAAGAAAGCAAGCCAAGGGAACATGCTGGAACCTCTGACTGTGCACTCATTAAAATTCTGCCAGCAGTACACAGTCTTCTCTGCCTTGGTCACTAAGCACAGGCAGTTGGACACTTGACGGGTTTCACCTATGTTCTGGACTGGAGCCCAGGCACCTCCACTGAGAAACTGTGCCTTCTCGTTACTTCACCCCTGATAAAATCAACCATCAGCCCAGCGAGATGTCTGCCACTTACCTCTGCCCACAACCAGATGAGACTGTGTTCTGCAGTCCAAGAACAGGCAAAAAGCCAAGGCCAATGCACTTGCAATTGCAGAAGAGCCACCATACAACAACCCACACTGCCAGCAGCCTGCTGCTAGCCATGCTCATAGGGAAGGGATGGAGTCCCAGGTCTGTCCTGCTCTGTGCATCACTCTATATGCTGTTGCTGAGACTTAAGGCACTCCAACCCACACCATTGCCACATACAGCTCATGTTCGCATGCTCTAGAAATTCAAGAGGCAGAAACAACAACAACCAAAACAAAAACATGTCACCAATCTGTCCTCAGTCAGGCAGGAATTGAAGTAGTGACAACTATTTTTTAAGTGGTTAAACCCAGGGAAACATTCAGGTGGAAACAGAGACAGGTGTGACCCAACATATTGGCCATCAAATGTGATAGAAGACTGGAAATGAGTTCATGACATTTACTGATGTTTTCAGGGAATAAGCACTCACCAGAGGTGTTCACATGCAGATGCGCATCCTGGCTCTGGTTGCCAGAAAAAAAATACAGGGTGTCCAGGCAGGTTTGAATCTCAGAGCAGCAGCAAAGACTGTTTAGTGTGTGCTTTTTCTGTGTGGAGAGGAAGACTTGTAGGAGGCAATTTCAAAATCCAGAATAAGTATTATTTAGGTGAAAATCAGTGAGCTAGATGATCTGTACTGTGTTTGCCTAGTCTACAACAGTAATCCCAGAGAAACAGTCCCATAATTGGTGCTGTGAAGGAGAATTGCTATTGCCGTGTTATGTGGAATAACTGGGAAAGTGAAAATAACTAGTAAAATAAAATATTCATGAGAAGAATGTTTTAACCATTTCCATTGTGCTTAAATACCACATGCCAATTAAAAGATCTAGGCATATATATTGAGAGAGATGAATATATATATACATTGACATGAAAAATATATTATTTGGTTACAAATGTGGAGTGTTGATCATGCTGGCAGACATCTGTACTCAACAAATGAGAGGGACTTGCAAGAGAATCAGAAGTAGTACAAAGCCAGAATCTTTACCATAGTGATTTCCAGACTAGCCTGGGCTAGTTGTGATCCTGTCTCGAAGACAATTTCCTGGAGCAATTTTATATCGCTTAGTAACAAAAAAGAGCAAGCATCACATGACAAACTGTTGTACATTAGTTAGTGTAAGTGCATAAAGGTCAGGCTAAAGGGATTTCTTCGGTGAGCATTGAAGTATGCACTGATATTTTTGAGTCTTAGTATAAATATTATCTAAACTTACCAAATTACATGTCTACATTGCTTTAGGTCTGGGATCTGGGATTTGTAAAGATTGTTGATATATTTATCTCGATGCAACACAATAAATCCTAGTCTAGGTATTCTACCTTTGGGGAATGGGACTAGGTCTGACATGGGGAACTCACTGTGTAGACCAGGCTGGCCTCTACTTACTGTGATTGTCTACCACTGCCTACCATGCTGGGGTTGCAGGCATGTACACAAACACCTCGCTTCAATTAGTGTATCTCTAGACAATTTGTATTCATGCATGTTTCCCTCGTTTCTTTTCTCTTCCACCATGACATAACAACAGGTTTACGCACATCGCTCTCCCATCTACTAGAAAATCTTCCATTGATATGTTATCCTCCTTTTCTTCAGGGAAGCTTGAAATATTGAGGATTGTTAACCGATGCATTGTCCAGAGGTGATGGCATAGTACGGGTCTAATAAGCCCTAACAAAAAATGATCATGATGAATAGAATTCTAAATCTCTTAAATTCAACAATTAAAAGGGAGTCTTTGCATTTTAGGAACACATGATTTCCAGGTGCAAAGTCTTAAATTCAACTAACACCATCAAAACAGAAACAAAATCAAGAAAGAGGGAGAGATTGAGGATTTGAGTGGAAATATAAAGTCAGAAATAAAGCTTGCAGACAGACCTGTGTGAGGTTAGTTTTGTGCTGAGATAATTCAAATTGAA